GTTCCCTAGACCACGGCCTTGTCCAACACAAGTTATAAATTCGGCCATTGCCTTCTTCTGTGTGTGAATGGAGTAATTGTTGGGATGCCACGGAGGAAAACTCCGTGTTGCCTAGACCACGGCATTGCCCAACACAAGTTATAAATTCGAACCCGAGACCCCCAGGATTACAAGGCCAGCGTTCTAACCGCTAGACCACCGTGGTATACGTTATAAAATAAATTTCGAGAAGTTTCCAACTCTGAAGGAGATAGAAACACAGTCAAGTGTAGGACAACGTAAAACGCTAGACGCACTAATCCAAAAGAGCAGACAGAATGCAGACCGATTTAAGACAAAGTTTTACTTCCAACAAGAAGTCACACCTGCAAAATTAAAAAAAAAAGCTACCATATGAAGAAATGTAGAATAAACTTCGCAACATTTTAAAGAGTTCTTAATAGGGTCGTGTTATTAAGCGAGTGGCCTGCAACATTGGTCCTGCACGCACAATCAGTTCTGCGTGCAATTATTCTACAAAACAAATGTCACACCAGGTTTGTTTCCTTGTGGAGAGCAGAAGTCAATAATTTCCATACTCACGTCACTGTTAAGGTAGTTAAACATTCTCTTCCCCACAAAGGAACTCTACCTAACGTAGTAGCTAAGGCGATTACAGCCGACGGCTTTAAACCTCGTAAAGTTCTTACTCCGCCTCACGCAAGAAATAAAATAAAATAAAATAAAATAAAAATACAGGAAAGAGTAAATTATGCAAACACCTTTTGTTTGCCTTTTTAATCCTGAATTTTTAGACACAGCCACCACGGTAAAGGTTTATAAGTTCAAAAACTACAACAAAAATGCGACTACAAATTTAGGCTGTGCCTACATTTCATCTGTCCATAATTTGCCCGTAGTTCATGTCCAGATTGTATTCACGTGTGGCCGATTTTTTTCTTTTTACTGAGAGTTTTCGTGGTTTTTCTCACTCCACGAACCTAATTCCGACACAGCGATTTTTTAAAACAGGCCACTACCAAGCGCTTCAAAGTACTCCATATAAGAGTACAGTCTGCTTTCAGAAAGCTTATAACCGTTGAGGTTATACAGTGCCCAATAACAGAATAAAAGTGAACAATAAATTTTAGGAGGGTAGGAGGAAGTGGTAGTGGCCTAATTTAAGACACCATCACAAAAAATTGCTTACAAGAACCGAGAAACACACGAAAAATCTCAGTCATTATACCCATTCTCCGAGCCAAGATTGCAACCCGGGATATTCCGAAAACAAACCTGGAGTACTAACCACGGACCCGTGTACAAGTAGAATTTTTCGTTGTTTTTCTGCAGAAAACACGACCCTAAAGCCTACAAATTTGATGCACAGTCTTAACCATGGTTCTGTGCCTCGGTTTAATTATGCCCAAAGCCAGCAGATTTCTTCTTCAGAAGCTAACAGTCGCTCAGCTTATCAAAAAAAAATTCTTCGACGTTTACACAATTCGAATGTGTCGCTACTGGGTCCACGACAGCCTTGAAATGCAAAATTCATTCGTGTCTTTACAACCCACGACATTCGTCACGTCTTATCATTTCATATGCGTTTTCATTCATATCGGCGAAAACTACGTAAAGTTAAATTTTTTTATCTTCTACACTGTTCCTACGTAAATCTACCTCAAATCTCAGATATCGATTAATTACATTAGCAGCTAAGTATACACTTTATACACTGGTCAAACTAATATTTATTTCAAACACGCGCCGAATTACGAACGATACATCTACATAGTCACAAGATGGCTTCTTGTAAATACGACTGTGGTCGAACCAAGTCCCGGATTCAGCGCTGGTACTTCATTTACAGACAGAATTGTCTCACACTTATGTTACAGAGCATCAAGGCCCCTCGCCCACCCACAAAACACTAGACACAGAGAGCAGCTCCCTGCAGATATTTATAAGAATTTTCTAGTATGAAAATCAGAACTTGCAACTTGTTCAATTTCCGATCTCTCTGTTTCAGGCAAGTATCTTTATCGTTGCAAACACTCTATCGTTAAAAGTTTGAAGATACCATCAAGTCATAACCAAAACGATGTCATATCGTAATTGAAATCGTATTCTTTCAACAGCGAACTGTGTGGCAGATCGCCCCAATACTTATCGTCTTAAGATTACACCAATGTCTAGTACTTATAAAAGTCCCCCGAGCAAAAGATGGCACGACACAAAACAACAAAACAATTTTACAACGCTTACCAGTAAATTGGCGACGGCTATCAGATCCACTGCCAGCGAAGAGTTCAGGAAGAATGTCATCTGATAGAAATGCAGCACCATAATTAATTTATATCCCGAATTTTAAATTATAAATGAAGTAAGAATCGTGTAGAATTATTTAAGTTCAATCTATTCGAAAGAAGGATGGATCCTGTGTCGTTCACAGAACAACCTTAACTTTAATTGCACGAATATTTTCATGGCAGAACCAGGCCTAAGAAAATTATAGGTCCTATAACCAATCGGAAAAAAACCACACATCGATCATGTTTTATTTGCCACTAATATTTAAAGTGACATTTATATTTTTTTCGGAAATGACAGTAGCCTACTTTTCGTTTATTACTAGAAAAGCAATTTTGACTGAGATACAAATATTATATTTTTATATAAAAAAAATAATATATCCCGCAAGTCATCGCTAAAAAAAAAATTGAAACGTCACCAAACACGAAAGGCGAACGTGTGAATAAAACTCGCGGGTCTTCTACACACGTGACACGCACTAAGGTAGTAGATCCATAGACAGTGGCTCCTTCGACGGACGACATTACAAGCAACAAATACCAGTGCACATTTCAGCCTGACCAGAAATCATTCGCTAACACGACGTAAGTTTCTTTGCCTGGAGTGCAATGCCTTCTGTTAAATCTAGTCAACCCCGTTGTCCAGGGGGTAAGGGGTTTAGGGGAGGGGGTGGCATTTGTTTCCCGGTGCGCGTGGTTTGCTTCTGACTTGCTCCGAGCTACCGACCGGCAAGGACAATGCACTCCGATCAATCCCGGCTGAGAGCAGCATCAGCTGGTAGGCACGAGCTTCGAGCTTTCACCGACAGAGGCCACACTCTACCAACGGATATCCTGAGTTGTGATCCTCAGGCTATGACGTCAGAAATTCGACGTAGCTTCACGTGTTACAAGTTATAAATGCTTCTTTGTCTTTAAGAAGCAGAATGGGTTTAGGCACTACACTAAAATTTTATCTAAAATACCGATGTCAACTTCCTCATCAACACCATCGCGCCATTAGGTATGTTTTCTTGTTAACAGCTGCGCGTGTTTTTCGGGATGTTGGAGGGGAAAAACGAATCAGCGCAAGCCCGACCGCCTAACTCGTCCGTCTCCCGCCAGAATCCACCACAATCGCCGCCACATTATAGTTTGCATTTCTTACTACCACAGGCGCCACTGTCCAGAACGTGACGAACAATAACAAGTACAGGTCTCCCAAACGAACGGAAACGCATTATAAAACGGAATATTAACTTTGTCAGTCTCTCACCGCTGTCAGCAGCGCCACGAAGCTAACGGTGGTCATTCTGAACACCTACACTAGATTCACTAATTGCCAAAGCTGATGTTTATAATGGTTTGGTTTATTAAAATGTATTTATTTCTTTCATTGTATAAATGTTTTGCATCTTTTTGTGATACTCTTTATATTCGGTAGATGAGATGAATGACGTCATCGATTACTGACAATTGCCATTCTACTCCGCGTCAGTAATATTCGGCCTATTTTGATTACCGGCGTATGAATATTACTTTCTACTTTTTGAGAGGGTATCGAATGGATGCCTTTATCTAAGATGACTTATTTTATAACAGTACGTATTTAGGGAAAATTGGGAATTGAGTTGTTTATAATCACTACAATACATCATCTTCTGCATTCCAGTTTCAGAATTAACCGAGGGGTTTGTGACTAGTGGCGCCTACTGCGGATTTTGCAATAAACATGGCTATCGCCCCTCCCTCTTTCCTCGCAAAAGCCCAACTCCACTGTCTCAGATCACAGGTTTTCAGCAAAATTTAATTCCAGTACAAATAATACTGGTTTCTTATATTAATTAAAACTGAACTTAAGCAAAAAGTTTTTAAAATTTTTCGCATGCAAACCAATCCCCATTTACCACTTATAAATTACAAAGATTTTTCTTAAAATTCTCGACACATGTAACATTATAATATAGCAATTAGTAACTAATTAACTGGATCCAGTCTGTCTTGGACTTTCCTGATGGCGTATTCTAGCGCAAAGTTAAAGAGCAATGGAGATAAAGCATCTCCTTGTTTCAGACCGTTCTTGATGGAAAATGAATCAGATAAATATTTACCTATACGAATATTTCTACAGGTTTCATTTAAGGATATTCTTATTAGACTCGCCAGCTTCTTTGGTAAACCAAATCCAATGAAAATGTTGTAAAACACTTCTCATTCAATCAATTATCAATTTTCGTATTCACCAAAACAAATTGAATTCAGTTCTCGTACGTAAGACAGATTTTTAAATGAGATCTCGCCGTGGCGGGAATAACGGATACGTCACCTCGGTCATCGATGTTAAAACGGTAGAACGGCAGCGATTATCGAACAGAGGCAAAGTTAAAGGAGGAGGACGACTGGTTGGGGAGGCGAGAATCTTTGAAGACGTAAGGAGTAGACATCAAAA